GGAGGGGGAGAGAGAGAGAGAGAGAGAGAGAGAGAGAGAGAGAGAGAGAGAGAGAGAGAGCGGCAAGAGGTAAGTCTCCAAGGCCGCGGCTGGCCTCGCGTAACTACCATCGAAAGGATGAGCAAAATCGATCAAATCTTCCGCTACAACGTCGAAATATTCACTACTACACGTATGTGTGTGTGTGTGTGTGTGTGTGTGTGTGTTTGTTCCTCTATTCCGCCCAGATGAGTAGATCCAGAGTCATAGCAACTTTACCTATATTGCAGACAATGAAGCATGCTTGAGATGAGACAATCCACCAATGAGACAGTTTTGCTTGTGAAGTCAATATCTATTCAGAACCTTACCTTTAATCAGACTAGGAATCTCACCTTTACACAAGCAATGCAACACACTCGAGATGGGCCATCCCAACAGCAAAAAGAATACGAGACAGTACATTTGTTAGTATGTTACATCGTTTTCTTGATTATTTTTTCATCAGCCGACATTGGGAGGCCTCCCATGTTCTTTGTTTTTGCAGTTACCCTCTTACTGTGCCTATCACGTACAAGGCTGGCCACGTTGATGATGGTTGAGCGCCAGCTGCCCATATCCTCGTGTGCCTTTACGGCCCACTTGCACGTTATAAAAGGAGGCAGAGTAAAAGGGTAATTATATTTTGTCTGTTCTCTCAACGACGCTCATTCATATGCGTTTACTAGTGGTACACAAGGAGAGGGAGTAGACAACAGGGAGGAGGACAAGAGAAAATGAGAGAGAGAGAGAGAGAGTGAGTGAGAGAGAGAGAGAGAGAGTGTTCAATAGGTTCTTTATACACACCATTGGAACAGACGACTATAGAATGACACGAGAAATCAATCAGTGTTCGGGTTGCAGGATGAGGAGTAGCTGTTGCCTATGGTAGGTGACCACTCCTGCAGACCGGACAGCACCGATTTGGGTGCGGACTGTGGAATCATCGCATCCAATTCTCGCAGTTGCAGTTGCTGCAACGAACGGCACGACGTAAACAGATATCACAGGCAACATGGCTCCCACAGGCAAGGAACACAGAGGCACGCCGACCGCAATTGTAGAGGCATTGCCGTTCGAGCCCCTGTCTACAAATTGGACATGACATGTCAGGGTGTCGGACGTGAGTGCAATATTGGCTGTCATCATACGTATGAAAACAGAAAGACGCACGGGATGTGCCTTCATAATCCTCATGACACAATGCATGTTGCCCACATGCTAGCCGAGTCTCCGGTGGATCATCACAGAACGGCATTGAGCAAGTATTTTGAGTTTCCTCGGCATTGATTCCTTCTCTATGGACCGACGACGACAACGACGACTGTGGCAAGAGGGGGTCATCCAAAACAAGGGTGTCTAGCTGCTGCAGGATTTGTGCTGCAACAGTTCGTCCTGGTGGTGTTAGCCCTTCAGCACAGTGCTCTATAAGCGGCTCATGTGATACTCTATTTTCCTGCTCAGGCTGTTGAGTTTGCTGTTTGTCGGGCAGGAAAGAAGGAGATCCGATGGCATTTGCAGTAATTGTATGCCCAACTCTGCATGTGGGACATGCTAAGAGAGGATGTGGTGGATGATGGCATCGTGGATAGTCCACGCAGTAGAGGCACATGCTTTCTATGACAGCTTCCTGGAAACATTGATGACACATGGCATGTTGCTGACATGTCAGCAGGAAGGCAGGCTGACGTTCGCAGCTATTTAAGCATGGCAGATTAAGGCCACGACGACAATGTGTGAGATCGGAAGGATGACAAAAATCGATGTGTGTGTGTGTGTGTGAGATCGAAAGGATGAGCAAAACCGATCAAAGAGAGAGAGAGAGAGAGAGAGAGAGAGAGAGAGAGAGAGAGAGAGAGAGAGAGAGAGAGTATGGCAACAGGTAAGTCTCCAAGGTTGCGGCTGGCCTCGCGCAACTACCATCGAAAGGAGGAGCACGAGGACGAGCGAGAGAAGGAGCAAGAATAACGGGGGAAAGAGCAGGGGAAGCAGTGGGAGAAGGAGAAGCAGCAGGAGAGAGAGCGGGAGAAGAAGAAGGAGGAGAGGGAGGAGCAGCAGGAGAACGAGCGGGAACGGGGCTATGGCGGGATCTTTGTCACGTTGTTTGGCGGAGGAGGAGGGGGAGGAAGAGGAGGAGGAGTGGGAGGAGGTGTGGGAGAAGGAGCGGGGAAGGAGCGGGAGCGGGGCTATGGCGCGGGGAGAGGAGCGGGAGGAGGGGGAGGAGGAACGGGGGAAAAAGCAGGAGAAGCAGCGGAAGGAGGACGAGCAGCAGCAGGAGCGGGAGGAGCAGCAACAGAGGAAGGAGAGGGAGGAGAAGAGAGAGGAGCGGAAGAAGAAGCGGGAGCGGGGCTATGGCGGGATCTTTGTCACATTGTTTGGTGGAGGAGGAGCGGGAGGAGGAGGAGTGGGAGGAGCGGGAGGAGCGGGAGGAGGAGCGTGAGGAGGAGTGGGAGAAAGAGGGGGAGAAGGAGGGGGAGGATATTCAGGATGGGGTTGCATCTCACAGCCCCTTGCTCCATACTCTCCTCCTCGTTTTGCGCATTCGGAGGCTGCTCAGTTCATGCACACATGAAACTGTTGAGGCGGCCCTGCCTGGGCGCGTGTGTGTGTGTGTCACACACACACACAAAGAGAGAGAGAGAGAGAGAGAGAGAGAGAGAGAGAGAGAGGAAACAGTCTGCCACAGTCATGTTTTTTTTGAGTGTATAGCGAATATGACAACAAAAAAATAATAATAATAAAAACAAACTGCAGTGTAACAACAACAGCCCCGTTCCCCTGTTCGTCCCTCTCCTCCGCCGCAGCGGCGGGTCCACTTGTTTTTATTATTATTGTAAATACGATGGAGATGATGAGGGCGAAGACGATGGGATTGGTGTCCTTTGAACATCAGTGATGTGCACAAATGTTCGCCATAGCTAGGGCAGTAACCAGGTGGGGAGTGGGTTTTTGACTGCAGGCAGGCTTAGGAGGGTTCTTTGAGATCCAACATTAAGGGGGAGTAGTTGGACATTCATTCTGGCACTTCCATTCATTGTTTTTTATTATTAGTGTAAACAAGACAGAGGGACGATGAGGGCGACGATCATGACAGMGCTGTCSAGAGGGAGATGACATTGGTTCAACTTGTRTTTATCCTCTTCTTCTTTCTTCATTTCTCTTTCCCTCTTGTCATGTTTCTTCTCACCTTCTCTTCCATCAAGTTGTGAGCTTTTGC